GGGGGGGAGGGGGATCAACACAGACATCCCTCCCACCCCCCATATCGGGGGGGCTGGAACCGCAGGATCCCCCCCCCCATCCCCCCCACGCCCCCCACTCAAAGCACCGCAGGTCCTGGGGTCGAACCGAGGCCGGGGGGGTGGGGGGGGCTCAGCACCGGGAATGGGGGGCCCAGGAGGGCAAAGTGGGGCGTCCCCACCCCATTCCGCCCCCCAATCCCAGCTGTGGCCTCCGGACATTTATGGCAAGAGCTGCAGGAGGCCTCGGGGATGGAGGGGAGGGTCCCCCCGAGCTCGACCACCACCCCAAAATCCAGGTGAGCGAGTCCCGTTGGTTAAAAACCCCCCCTCGCCCCCCGGCCCCGGAAGGCACTGGGGGGGGGGTCAGCACCATCCCTGCCGGCAGGGCCAGTCCGGGGAGGGGTCCCGGGGGTGGGGGCGGACAAAATGCGGCCCCTCCCCCGAGCGTCTACGACATTTTCCAGATGGTCAGCGAGGCCGTGAGCACGCCGGCGGCGAAGATGGTGATGGTCTGCCAGGTGGGGGTCCCGAAATGGGACAGGAGCCCTTCCTGGGGGGACACGGGAGGAGCAGCAAGGTCACCGCGGCATCGTGGGGGGCTCCCAAACCTCCCCCCCAGAAGGGCCAGACTCAAAATCTGAGCTGGGAAACAGGGGAAGGGAGGATTTGGGGTAAAAAGGGGAGGTTGGGGAAGGAGAAATTCCCAAAAAAGGGCTCAGCCCACCCCCCCACCCCGAGGAACGGCAGGGTTTGGGGTACGAGGGGGGTGTCAGGGGCTTGGCTGCCCCCCCCCGAGGATTTGGGGAGGGGGTTTGGGGGTCTCACCCATCCGCCCTGGGCCTGGATCCAGGCCAGCACGTTCTCCTGGACGTACTCCATGGTCCAGCGCAGGATGGTCTGCACCAGCTCCGGGACCTTGGTGCACAGAGCCTGCAGGGGGGCACGGGGGGCGCTCACAGGGGGCTCGGGGGGACCCGGCAGAGCCTCCGGGGACCCCTCCCCAGGCCCACCTTCAGCACCAGCTTGCAGGCAAAGTAGAACAGGGCAACCACGCGGCCCCAGTTGAAGGTGCCGTCGGCGAACATCTCCCTGGCCACGCGGAAAAACAGCCTTTTGGGGGCGTCACAGCCCACCTGCTCGATCATCCTGCGACACGGGACGCCGGGCACGGTCAGGCCAGGCTTGGGGACACCACGGACGCCCCCCAAGAAGCGGCAGCTGCCCACCTCTGCAGCTCCATGTTGCTGTCGAGCTCGTCGCCGATGCGCCGCAGGCACTCGCTGAGGCGTTTGGTGTCGGGGCTGCTGGGCTGGGGCTCGCCCAGCTCGGCCACGCTCAGGGCCACGGCCTGGGGGTCCCCGCAGCGCTCCACGCGGTCCCGCACGAACCTGGGAGAGACCCCCCCCCGGCACTCTGGGTAGCTGCTGTGTCCTGGCCGGCCCTGGGTCACCCCCTCGCCGTGTCCCGGCTGGACCCCGAGTCCCTCTCGAGTCGCCCCCTGAGGTCACACCCGCACCCTGCGTCCCCCCGGGATCCTTGCAGGTCGCCCCCACGTCCCCTGATCGCCCCCTTCACTCCCAAGTTCCCCCTTGCACCCCGAGTCCCCCCAGTTCTGCATCCCCTAAAACCCTCCCCAAGCTTCGAGTCCCCCTCCCCTCGCACCGTGTGCCCCCAAAATCTCCACAGGTCCCCCTGCGCCCCCAAGCCCCAGGATCCTCTCGAGTCCCCCCGATGTCCCCTCACCCGCACAATGCCAGGTCCCCCCAAATCCTCAGTCCCTGACCCGCACCCGGTGTTCCCCCGCCATCCTCTCCCGTCCCCGCGGTCCCGTCTCAGTCCCGAGCTGTCCCCGCAGCCGGTGCCGTTCAAGCCGCCCCTTGTCCCTTCCCAGCCCCGCCCGTTCTCCCGCCGCTCCCCGCCTCCCTCCCCCCTACTCACGCCCGCAGCAGGATCGCCCCTGTCTGCATGATCTGATCCGAGGAGGCCCCTGCGGAGA